TTGTACACGGAAGCAGCTCCAGGAGGATGACGTAGGACATCAGCGTTGCGCATGCGCCGCTCAGAAGTGACGAACGCAGAAACACAGGGGAGAGATCAAAACAAAACAACGGTCACGAATTAGAAGTACAAAACGAGGATTTGTAAAGAAAAATGTCAGAGGATTTCGATATAAGCCAAGAGGAGACTGGTTTTCCTTTGCTAAAATAAGGAAACTTTGCTTCCTTTGCTCCTGTTAACAAACAACTCCGATTGGATTCATCTGAAAGAAGGAAGTCATATACACCTAGGATGGCTTGAGGGTGAGTAAATAATGGATTAATTTTCATTTTTGGGTGAACTATCCCTTTAAATGTAGGTAATATGACTGAAATCTTAATTCATAATGTCAGTAATTTTATTTCACAAATATATACATATGTTGTTACATTTCTGTTGTAATTTTAAATGCTAGTGAAATATCACAATTATTGATACAGGCAATTATTTAAGTAAACAATTAAATAGTCAGTAATAAAAAAAGATCAAATAGATAATAAACAATAGGACATATAAATACAATACAACATAGACACTAATGAAATAAAGTGCTTTAATTTTTTTTTAAGTATTCAGTAAAAATGTATTTTTTATTTATTTTTTTATTTATTATTTTTTTCCCCCAAAACTGTTTACATTCACTCAAGACATAACTGGTGACAGTAGTTTTGAATTTTGGTGAACACTATCACAGACACAATATTTGTACAGCCTTTACAAAACACATCTATCTATAGAAACGTTTCATGCGCATTTATGACCCTAAATGATAAAAAGTCACAAAATTTCAAGAACATTTCAACTAGTGTTTCATGCAATTTAAATATGTCAAATAAGTAAAATTAGTTAAATACTTAAATAAGACTTAAAATGGATTTAGTTTCCAAGCTGCTTTTTTTTTTCTCTAGGTATCTGTATTCTGTAATGCTCAAAACACTGTCTAGGCTCACTAGTTTTACGACACAGCCTGTATGTATTGTGTTCATGTCAAGTGAAGATTTAAATTCTTTTGTTTTATTTGAATATTTAAATATGTGAACTGATACTTAAAATTAGTTATTTCTGATGCGTACTTGAGGGATTTAGCTTGCGCGAGTCTCTTTCTCCATTAGACAGCTCATGCATATTAGTTTCTTTACATCAACTTTACTCACCAGGAAACTGAAACCAAATGTGTGCTGAATTATACATACACTGCTGAGTCATGTCACAAACAATATGGAATGATTCCACTGTCAGATGCTTATCGGTTCCCTTTTAAGGTCACAATGGTGTTGTTAGACCTGTGTATTGACATTTGTACTTTTGTTTTTTATGCAGAATATATTTTAAATCCATTTTGTTTACTCTAAGTGTCTTTCCTCCTGATTTCTTTGTATTGTTTTTAATTATTATTATTATTTCCAATATCTGAAGGCGTTGGCAATGACCAGATAATTGCCTTGGGAGCTGCACTTCTCAATAAGTGAGTATCATCTTATCTCTTCTTCACATGTTCTCTGTGTTTGTTTTTGTTCATTATCTCGGTCATCTCGTCCCATCTCTCACAGCTTCGTCTATGAACGAGTTCGTCGCCATGGAGACAGTGAAGCTGAATTAACCCGAAGTCAGCTGGGTGGTGTCGAGCTGTGCGACCCCAGCCATAAACGTCTTGCACAGTGTTTGCAGCAGATTGGAGATGAACTGGATGGAAATGTGCAGCTGCAAAGGTAATGGATTGCAGAAGACATCTCAACTGTCTCTATGTACAGAGTCTCCTGCTGTGCTCAGAAATGCTCACTGGATGGCAGTGTGCTGCAATTTATCCATACCTCTCCATTGTCATTTTGATCTAGTATGTTAAATAACTCCACTCTTCAACCAACTCAAGAAGTCTTCATGAAAGTGGCCCGTGAGATCTTCTCTGATGGGAAGTTCAACTGGGGCAGAGTGGTGGCGCTTTTCTACTTTGCGTGTCGGCTTGTCATCAAGGTGAAGACCTACATAAGCTCAATCTCATATCGAAATACATTGTTTTGATGTTTTAAATATTTGTCTTTCTTATTCTTGTATTCCTAGGCTATTATAACCAGGATTCCTGACATCATAAGAACCATCATAAGCTGGACTATGTCCTACATTCAGGAACACGTTATTAACTGGATCAGGGAACAGGGTGGATGGGTAAGTCTTGACAGTGAATTCCTTGCACAGTGACTTCCTTAAAATCATGTGAAACATCGGGTGTCGATGTGATATTTTAACACGGGCCACAATGAACTTAACCAAATCCACTGATATCGTGATAAACAAAATGCAAAAAAACAACATGAACATTTAACTTATGTGAACTTAATGTGAAGCAGAATATCTCGGCTGTACTATAGACATAGAATACCGTTCAAAGGTCATACATTATGAAATTATAAAGCCATACATAGATCATATATTTTTAAAGAAATTGACGCTTTTATTCGGCAAGGACATGTTAAATTGATTGAAAGTGACAATAAAGACATTTACAATGTTACGAAAGATTACATTTCAAATAAATGCTGTTCTTCTTTCTATTCATCAAAGGATTTGGTTGTATTGTTTGGCTATGCAATTATTGACTAATGTTTATGTCAGCATAATAATTATGTCAGCAAAAAAGACAAATTGAAATGTAATTAAATTTCTAAATTAATAATCCATGGTATTAGTTTAAAAAAAAAGTACCATTAAAATATATTAATTTCTTTTTAAATAATGACTATTGTGTGTACACTAACATCAATTTGTGATTTCTTTTTCTGTACCACATGACTCATTAAAGGGATAGTTCACCCAAAAATGAAAATTCTGTCATTAATTACTCACCCTCATGTCGTTCCAAACCCGTAAGACCTTCGTTCATCTTCGGAACACAAATTAAGATATTTTTTGATGAAATCCGAGAGCTTTCTGACCCTCCATAGACAGCAAGGATCCTTACACGGCTCAGAAACATAGCAAGGAAATTGTTAAAATAATCCATGTGACATCAGTGGTTCAATCGTAATTTTGCGAAGCTACGAGGATACATTTTGTGCGCAAAGAAAACAAAAATAATGACTCTATTCAACAATTCGTCTCCTCCGCGTCACCCTATAGCGCCATTTTGGAGAGTATCACACACGTAAACAACGTATGCAACGTGTGTACGCGTATATGTTGTTTACGTTCAGATCAAAGCGTAAACAACGTAAACAGCTTATCCGTGTATGGTGCTGCTGACACAGAACTGCATACGTTGTTTACGTATGTGATGCTCTACAAAATGGCGCTATAGGGGGAAGCGGAGGAGACGAATTGTTGAATAAAGGCGTTACTATCCCTTTAAGAGAAACTTTTTAACTATTTGAATAAAATATGTAAAGCATTCTTGAGGGGGGAAAAAAACATGAAAGCAGTTTTTTTTTCTTCTATTTAAAATATTTTTTCTTTATTGTGGAAACAATCAGAAATGTCATTGAACCTAATACTTTTTGATAAAATATTATTAAAGGGATAGTTCACCCGAAAATGGAAATTACCCCATGGTACCCCATGTATATGACTTTATTCTTTCAGACAAATACAGTCGAAGTTATATAAAAAAACAATCCAGTGGATGACGTAGGTGTAGCGTAAGCTCCGGTGAGAATATGCTAATAATAGTTTTGTTTACATCAAAGGAAAACCAGTCTCCTCTTGGCTTATATCAAAATCCTCCAACATTTTTCTTTACAAATCCTCGTCGTTTTGTACTTCTAATTCATGACCGGTGTTTTGTTTTGCTCTCTCCTCTGCGCTTCCGCGTTCGTCAATACTTTTTGATAAAATATTATTAAAGGGATAGTTCACCCGAAAATGGAAATTACCCCATGGTACCCCATGTATATGACTTTATTCTTTCAGACAAATACAGTCGAAGTCATATAAAAAAACAATCCAGTGGATGACGTAGGTGTAGCGTAAGCTCCGGTGAGAATATGCTAATTTCACGAAAACAGAGTTTTGTTTACATCAAAGGAAAACCAGTCTCCTCTTGGCTTATATCAAAATCCTCCAACATTTTTCTTTACAAATCCTCGTCGTTTTGTACTTCTAATTGATGACCGGTGTTTTGTTTTGCTCTCTCCTCTGCGCTTCCGTGTTCGTCACTTCTCACTGGAGCTTACGCTTTGCCTACATCATTCGCTGGAACACCGTGAACACGTGTATGACAGTAAGCAGAAGCTAGAGATTACAGTTTATAAAGTTTGAAATATAATAATTTTTCAAAAGTAAATCTTGGGGTAATTTTCATTTTTGTGTGAACTATCCCATTGTAGCATTTTGTTTATTTTAGTTTATTTTAATTGATTTATTTTTATTAAAGCTAAATATGTGGTCAAATTTGCCCTTTTTTCTCCCACAGGAGGGAATCCGCTCCTATTTCGGAACCCCGACATGGCAGACTATTGGTGTTTTCCTGGCCGGGGTGCTCACCACAGTAGTGGTGATCCGCAAAATGTGAAAAGACTGGCAGGAAGGTGGAGAGCAAGAGAAGAGAGAGTTGAGACAACGAACCGAGTGAAACAGACCAGCAAAAGAGAACAGAAAAGATGAGGGGGAAGAGGAGGGGATCTGGAGTAGAGATACAGAGAAAAAGACAAATAAGAGAGTTGAAAATGGCCTCAACTAATCAAAAGAGAGAGAGAGAGAGAGAGAGAGAGAGAGGAGGAGGAGGAAAGAGAGAGAGTCAAGCATGATGCAGATGTCTCGAGCCACTCTTGTTACTCCTGAGCTTGTGCTCTTTCTCATCTACAACTTTAAACCTTGATAACATTTGCACTGAAAATCAGAGATTAATGCGTAAGAGTTCAAGTTTAGGCTTGATTTTAGCTATTTATTTTTAGTTTGGGCTTATGGGTGTCTAGGTTATATACAGGACTGTATTGGTATTTGATTTAATCTGTTGAAATTGTCTCAATGCAGAAATTTCTCATATTAAGTTAAGTTCTCATATTATGTTATTTTTATTTTTTGTCCTACAGTCAAAATTACATGCGGTAAATAGTTATAATAGTTTATAAATTGAATTATTATTATTAATAGGCTATATTATTATTATGATAAAAGCATAATTGTGTCTGTCTTTTTTTAGCGCACTGTCATCTGAAAGAGTAGGAATGGGCTCAGACTGTATTCTGCTGATATTTTAATTTCCTATCTCTTCCTCATCCTCCTCGTCTTTTTTTCCACTGTCTCCTCTAGTTCTTCACGGTAGGGGCTACAAAATGTCTGTAAAGTTGATTGTACTTGAAGGTTTAGCCTCTTAAGAGTTCATGAAATGTTTGCAACCGAATTTGAGAAGTGCAGCCAACCAATCAGCACTCTGGTTCTGGTATGTGGGCGTGTCTTTGTCAGCAAGCCCCTCCTACGACAGGGATAGGCAATACTAGTGACTCTTAAATGCAGTGAACTTCTCTGAGCCATGATTATCGTGTTTTTTACAGAACCAAATATTTTCTTTTTCAAATTCCTTTTGGATTCGACAATCCAAAGACTTCAGATGCAGGTGCAGATTCTTTGACGAAAAGCAGTTCGCTTGGCTTGAGCTGGTGCAAACATTCGGTCTTGCAGGACTTACAGGCCGATTAGTTGAGCTTGTCCTCTCAGCAAGGTCTTCTCATTACTGTATTTTTAAGATGGTTAGCCAGACCCACAGTCCTACTTTTACATGCAATTGTTCTTTTTTATATATACCCGTTTCTTTATCTTTTGGTTGTTTGGGTAGTTTCATATTCTTTTATTTTTGGTTCTTTCGTTGACAGTGCCTTGGCCTTTTTATGATATTAGCCACCACTTTTTCATCTTTTTCAACATCTTTGTAAACTGGTATAAAATTGTGCACCCTAAGGCAGTCTGTCTGCTGTGTGAGCCCATGAGTTTGTTTTGTAAGCCGTAAAATGAAACAATACATTGTTTTTATGGATTTCAATATAAATGTGTGGTGTGTGTTTTTTGATTTTGGTAGAGAAAGAGTTACTCTCAAATTGTCACATTTTAAAATAACAGTAAAGGATCGAAACTAGGAAATGAACATACAGGAATTATGTAGTAAATGTTAAATAAAAACTATAATATTTAAGTAGCTCAGCTTCATTAGATGCATCCTGGGATGTTTCTAACGGTTTTAAAGAAGTTCACATGTATGCTAGACACTTGATAGCCGGTTTTCCTTTACTGACCAATTCATGCTTTAAAAAAAATTCTCTCATTCTCTGAAAAATCAGTTGTCTGAAAAACGAATTGGAAGCATCAGCTTTTAGATGAAAATGTCTTTAAAATCATGAGAAACAAATTCAGCTTTTTGTTCAAACTTCCGATTGTATGTAATGCAGTGTTGTTATTGTTAACTAAAATAAAGCCGAAACAATGTAAACATTAGATGAAAACGTAAATAACTTAAAACAAATATGAGAAATGTTGCCATGACGACTAACTGTCATAAGCTTAGGTCACTGATCTTATGTAAATTATAGGTTAGTTGTTTAATTGAAATAGTAACATTTCTTACACAAATAAAAATAAAGCTAATAGAATTTTTTATAAACAAAAACTAATAAAAAATTACCAAAACCTTAACTAAACTTAAAATGAAGCTCAAAATATAAAAATTTAAAGTAGTAATAAATAGTACAAAAATTACATTGATGTAATGTGTGTTTTTTCAGCTTACTAGTTTTACTAGTTTCAAATGATTAATGCAATAAGATCATCAGTGTAATATTTACAAACACAACAATACTCAACATCTCATTAATCACAGACAATTGGGACAACTGCGAAAAAAAGTGTATTTTTATTGAAAGGCTCTAAAATACAGTTCTTAGAAAGGAGATCAGTGATTATTTCAAATTTTGTTGTACATCTTAATGCCCCACAGGTAAACCGTACTGACATAGAAAACTTACTCGATTGACTAACTTGCCATTAATCATGAAATGACTCTTTGAAGGCTCACGATGATCTTCACAACACAGCGCAACAAAAGACCTACATAGTTAAAACAACAACAAAATACTGAGAATGTAAATCAATAATATGACAATGGCTCAAAAGTTTGGCCGACGAGAGGCCCAGATGAGATTCACGAATACTAATTCAATGCACAGGTACTTTGACTGGAACAGAAAGCTTGACAGAAACAGATGGAGATGGAGAGATCAGTCTCTAGTCTCCAGCACCCCCTCTCTGATCCTCCAGCTCCATGGCAGTTTGCAGTCGGGGCCGAGGGTGCAGCAGGGGTTGTGTCCGTACTGATGATAGTGGCTGGAGTCAGGGGCCGGGACGCAGCGCAAAAACAGGCTGTTCTCTAGGACCTCTTTGTCAAGGGGCACCAAGCAACCATCCTCTGTTTGCAGACTGAACACGTTCTCTGAGATCTACACGAGAGAGAAGATTTGAACCTCTAGCAAACAAAGAGTAATGCAAATAAAACGTGTTCTATACACACACACACACACACACTGTTTACCTGATCGCTGATTCCTCTTGCAACGTGGCCTACTTTCACCCCGGGCGTCTCCCGAATGTGAAAGCATTTCCCGTCAAAGTCCCTAATATAAACATCCACCCCTGAAGAAACGAAGCACAGATGTGAGCATGGCACAAATAACCCTGATAAATGTCATCTAAAAATATCTCATACCAACAGCATGAGTGAATGAGAGTTCTTGTAGCTTAACTGTGCCAATATGCGACAGATTTATAAACACTGGTCTATGAAAAAATATACATGCTTAAATATAGGATATGTCTCTAGACTTGCTGTTTTTGATAATATTAATAAAACTGCTCTTGATTTAATTGAATGTTTCCTTATTACTGACTATACATAAGTAATTACTTGGAAAAACCTGAATAATTAACCTTTACCGCACAATATTTTCTATACTATACTGTTATGTCTTAGGAAGTTTCTATTCAAAGAATCCTGGAAAATGTATAATGGTTTGTTTCCACCAAAATATTAGGCAGTACAACTGATAGTAAAATCAGTATATTAGAATGACTTCTGAAGGATCATGTGACACTGATGCTGAAAATACAGCTTTGCATCACAGGAATTTATTGCATTTTAAAATATATTCAAATAGAAAAGAGTTATTTTACATCATAATAATATTTCACAATTTTGCTGTTTTTACTGTATTTTTGATCAAATAAATGCATCCTTGATGAGCAAAGGAGGCTTTAAAAAAGCATTTTAAAAACGCTTACTGACCCCAAACTTTTGAATGGTAGTGTATATGCCATAGTTCATGTGTATTTCAAATTTAAATAGCATAATGTTTTTTTTTCCAGGATATCGAGTATCACAAAATTCAACCAATGTTGGTACGGATTGATAACAGTTTGGTATCATGCCAACTCTTTGGTCATGTAATGATGCTTTGCATTTCTCTAAAGTAATCAGGAGTTGTTCACACACCGTCAAAGCAGCGGGGCGGGGGTTGATGTGTGGGGGCGAGCCAGTCCCTGCTGAAGCTCTGGCCATCTTGTTGGCTGTTGTAAGAAAAGACGCCTGAGCTAAGATCATCACCAGGACCGACTGACCAACGCCCTGAATCCTGGAAAGAAAAAACCCCCCTTTGAATTTCAAATAAGTTATGATTGGTTAAAGAGAGATGCTTTACTAGCAAACAACAGGTGATGGTCGTCAGGAAGTTAAACGTCACTCTTAATATCCTTCTAATGTGTTTACTAGACATGTATCAGGTTGTGAGGAATTACAGGCTGCCTCATATTCAGCATTCTGAACTTGATGCTTGGGTTTGTTTACCTTCTTGTCCCAGTATTCTCTAGGGGAAAAGCAGTCGCTACCGAGACAAGAGAGCCACTGCTCCTGCAGCTCAGCAGAATGAGGATGGGAAAGACTGCTCACGTAGAAATCTGCAGAGAGAGCGAGACAAGTGTTATAACTGGCAAAGCTGCAGTTCAGATGGCTGTAATCGCAAGAAAGGATATTGAGATTCCATCCTCATATTTTTTATGCTAATTTTGGGATATGGGATAGAAGAAATGCTAAATGACACCAAAACGCGAATAAAATATACAAAACATATACGTTTGCTTGAGGTGGATACAATTTTATTTGTTAAGAATACATGTGCATAAACTACTATATGAACACATTTACCAAATAAAATGCTGCAATCTCTTGAATAATTCACATCTAAAAAATTGTTTATTCTATATTATCATTCAAAAGTTTGGGGTTGGTACAATTTATTTTTAAAAGGAGTCTCTTACGCTCACTATGGCTGTAGGTATTTGATCAAAAATCAAAAATCAAAATCTGAAATTTTTTTCTGTTTGAATATACTTAAAAATATACTTTATTGCTGTGATGGCAAAGCTGAATTTTTACTCCAGTTACGTGATCCTTCAGAAATCATTCTAATTTGCTGCAAATATTTCTTATTATTATCAATGTTAAAAATTGTTGTGCTGCTTAATATTTTAGTGGAAAGTGATATACAGATCTTTTCAGTGTTATTTTGGAACACTTTTGATCCATTCTTGCTGAACAAAAGATATAATTTATTTTATTTTTAAATCTTACTGACCCCAAACATTTCTACAATAGTGTGTTTAATAAACGAAGTGGCTTCAAATTCCATTTCTATTATTTTGTGTCATTTTTCCCAGAAGTGACAAAGGAAACAATTTGCAAATGGTTTCTACGATTTTCTACATAAATTAAATATAGCTACTATTAGTCTGAAGAGCAGCGTAAAGCTGGCCGCTATGAATATGACGCGATCAGGTGGCGGCGGCTCACCTTTCCACAGCTCTTTTTCCGGCACTGTTGGTTCTGGCTCGGTCTTATTGATGATCTGTGGCTCAGGTGAAGTGCTTTGAATGTGGAGCAGTGACTTCGGAGGAGAGTGGTCATCGTTTCTTGTCTCCTCTGTCCGTTTCCACTGTTTTACCTTGTCTGGCTTGTCATGACGTTCCCCATCACCCGCTCTCCTCTTGTGCTCCGAGCTCATCCACTGCTGCTCAGAGTTATCAGAGGACGTGGTGTGGTGGGATGTGGTGGGTGTGGCTGAATGGGCGGAGTCTGGATTCTCTGGCTTCCCCAGTGGCTTCCGATAGGTTCCTCCTCTCGCGGGGTTGTGAAGTCCCCCCACTGCAAATAAATGTATGACTTTTTAATTGTGTAACATTTAATACACAGCCATTCGTATGTGTTTCATGGTTGTTTACTGTTACCTTCTTTAAGTGCTTTAGCAGTTTTAACAAAGAGTTCTTTGGCAGAGGCTCGTTTGTTTGGATCTTTCTGCAGTCCTGATCTTATGACATCTGCTGTATAGGAGCTGCAGTCACGTGGGATTTCCCTCACTGGCGGAGGCTCTTCTGCTATCTGTCAGCATGCAAACACAAACAATACTTTGTAAGTGACTGGTCGATGCAAATCATGTAGTTTTCACAAAACTCTAATTAAAATTAAATGTGACTTTAAAAGTGGGAGGGACTTATTTAAACGGTTTCCAATCGTAGCGAACCTTGAGGTATAGTGGGTGGGAATAGTAGCGGGTCCACGGATGACAGCCGTTGAGCATGTGCAGAAGCACACAGCAGCTGCTCCAGATGTCTGCTTTCGAAGAGCGCGGCTCATTGAGCACCACCTCGGGTGCCATATGAGTTTCTGTGCCTTTCAGACCTAAACACATACAAAAAAAGAGTTGATTCATTTATGTATGTGTCTATGTTCACTTGAAATATATTTGAGGCTATAATGAAATGTACTTACTCTTACAATAACTAAGCCCTTGTTTGTCCAATCTCTCAGAGTATCCAAAGTCACACAGGAATGCATCTTTCCCATCTTCTGACAGCAAAATATTATCCGCTGAAAATAAAGTGAGCTAAAATGTAAATAACTGTATTTTTAAGAATATAAATCAACAGGAAACTGAAATATGAAGAAA